TTAAATTTTGACAGAGATTTAAACTAGACAAAAAATTATCGAAATTTGCTTTTGAAAAGAATAAAAACAAAACTCTGTGTTTACTATTCATTCGGCCTGGCAGCGAAAAATTTTCCCACGGCCCAGCAACGCGCGCAGCCCAGGCTCAGCTCGCGCGTGCGCTCCCTCTCGCACGGCATCAACGCGTGGCCCAGCAGCTCGGCCCAGCTTGCGCGCCCAGCTGTATCAGCCGCGCTCCCCGCGCCTAGGCCTGGGTCGAGAGTGGCCCGGCCATCCCTGTCCGTCCATCAGCATCGAACGGCTGTCCGTCAATTTCGCGCGAGACAAAACCAACGGCTGCAGGCCTTGCTCCCCTAACCCTAGGGCAGTCTCTCTCACTCCTCTCTTTCTTGGCCGCAAAAGCGACATAGGCGACGGCCTTGGTGGCCAACGGCGCCGGTGAGAAGTAGCGCCGCCAGAGCAGATCTGGCTCCCCTTCCATTTCGTCTTTCTCTTCCCCTTTCCCTCTTCACTCTTAGCCGCGGCGCTCCAAGTGAGAACAAGGAACAGCAGCCGCTGCCGTCCATGGCCGGAGGAGAGGTACGGCGCCGCTGCAGGCCTCCTCGCCGGTGCGCGCGTTCACTCGTGGCTGAGTGCGCCGCTGTTGAGCGGTCTTGCGACGGCGCCCTCGGCGCCCACACGCGGAGCTTTTGAGCGCCGGCGAGCCCACAGCTCGGCCGGTCTTCCCGCACGCCAGTGAGGCGGCAGCGCGGTGCACGGCGAGGTAGGCCCCTTCCCCTCTTCCCCTTTCTCCTTTTCTTCATCTCCTTTTAGATTTTCTTCTCGGGTTACATCTGATTGGGGATTAGGGTTAGGGTTAGGGTTTCGTTAGGGTTAGGATTAACCCGATTCGTTTTTCTCTTTTCCTGCCGCGCGCCGGTGAAGACGGCGGTGCGGCACCTTTCCCCGCACAGTGGCGGTGGTGACCGGCAGTTGAGTGACGCCCGCCACCCCCGTGGTCTCTTTTCATTTTCTTTTACCCGGTCCAGATCTAAAAGCCTAGAGAACCTTGCTCTGGTACCATTGTTAGGGATATAGGATCATTAGGAGCATAGATCTAGTCGGTAGAGTGGTTCTATTCGGGATAAAAGACGCAGTGCATCCTAATACATGTAGAACTAGAGAGACAGAGAGGGAAGGGAGAAGAATGTATCGAACCTGACACCGCAGAGGAAGATGATCCAGAAGCCACCATCTCGTTCGTCGGTAAAGTCTGCGCACGGGCAGCGACAGTCGGGGAAGAGGTCAATGAAGTCGTCGACGTCGGTGGAGCGGGATGGCGCGGCTGGTGGCTTTCCGTCACTGGCGGAGCCCTCTCTAATCGGGATTAGGGTTTAGGTTTCGGTGAGGAGCTCGGCTCAGGCGAACCTCGTACTCAGAGCCGCCGGCCCCCACCTCTATATATTGCGCTGTGTGACAGGGGCCCTCCAGCCATAGTAGGTTGAGCGCCCCCGATCAGGACGTGGATCAAAGGCCCAACTAGGCCGTTGGGCCCAGTTTGAGATTAGAGATCAATCTAAGAAAAACCTGCCAAAATAGCTGAATGAAAAAACTCACCGTACTCCGCCGACGTCGCAGGCGCCTCTTCATCCTCTAGCTGGTTGTCCGATGAATGTACAGGAGCTTCATCAGCCGAAGCCACCGGTCTCGATCTTGTCAGAGCGGAGATAGGCCGAGGTGCCAGGGTCAGTCGACGACGTCGTAGTAGATCTTCGCGAATTGGATCCTCAACAAAATCTCCATCCGCGCCTAGATCCTCGACGACACCGTCAACGAGTGGAGCACTGTCGACGCCGAGTTGTGCCCTGTCTGGGGAAACAGGGTCCTCGCCGGAGAACAAGTCGATGTCCTGCTTCTCGGAAAAGGGAGCCTGATGCGCGTCCGACATCGCGGGAGCCGTCGGAGCTGCAGGCATCGCCGCGTCCGGCACCGAGCAGGAGCGGCGTCCACCTTCCAGATCCCGCTCCCCATCCTCTGGACGGTGGGCGCCTGCCCGATCCTGCCGTGACTGCACCGAGACTGCAGCGGGCGCCGAGCAGAAAACCGCCGGACTAGAGAGGTCCGCCGGAGCTGCAGCGGGCGCCGAGCAATATGTCACCGGACTGGCGAAGGGGGTCGCCGGTAGGTGACCGACATGGTCCGCCGGAGCTGCAGCGGGTGTCGAGCAGGCCGCCAGACTGGCGAAGGCGGCCGCCGGTGGGAGACCGACGGGATCTGGAGGCTTCGCTGGGGCGCCTGGTGAGTCGCCCCCAGTGGTCTCCATAGGCGCATGTCTCATGAACACATATAATGGTCAATTCTTGGATAGTTTTATTTTCCATTGGTCTCGAGATAGCCACTAGAAGACCTGCTGGTAACTCTAAGTGTTGAATATATTCATCATAAGAACGACGGTACACCGGTACACCAAGATGTCGTAAAAAACTATGACAAACTATCTCAAGCCAGGTGCAAGTGTGCCATTCATAACTCCTTAGAATGTCCTAGGTGCACCCGTCGGACCAAAGGGCATAACCTGGAATTTACGGTGGCTCGAGTGGGTCTGGAAAGCCATCTTATGCTTTTTCACCTAGCTGCAAGAGATATTTGCTAAAAACCCGCATGAAGATCCTAATTAGAAAACCATGTCTCATACGTTAATTCATCCATAAGCTAGTAAAAAATAGGAACATGGAACTTAGATTTTAATGTTAAAGCATTCAACCAATGACAAAAATATATGCAGAAATGATAAGTTCCATCCTTCTTAGAAACCATGAAGAACAGGGACGAAAACAAGCTTACACTGGACTGTATCAATCCTTGAGCCAACATCTTGAGTTCGTCTGTAATAAGTTTAGGTGGACACCAGTATGGTCTGATAGCAGCAACTGGTCGAGCACCAGGAATCAGGGGAATGAAATGGTTGCAAACGCGGAAAGTAGGAAGGCCAGTAGATTGTTGTAAGGGGTTGTTAAGGATCTTGGAAGCTGCTAGAGGAGGGGATGAATAGCGGATGATAACTAAAAATAAAGACACTTGACAACTTTTGATTAGAAATACAAATGACAATAATATTGTATTAATTATTCCAGGCCCCGGGTTTGAATGCAACTTCGTGTTTGCATAAATTTCCTGGACCCATAAAATAAACTTAATTATCCTAGGCCTGTGGTTGCTGCCTTGAGCCAAGATCCCCCTCTGGTTACCCCAGTGAAACAAGCTGGAAATCATCTATTAAAAACGCGCAAGCCGCATATATATACAAATCCACCCTCTGCATATCTTATTAAGCTGTATAATAAATGAAACAAGACACCACCATATACATAGACCGGATGCATATTCGCTACCCTTATTGCAACAGCAGCTAGCCTAACTAAACCAATAGTAATACAAGCACAAATGATACTTTTCATATGCCGATTTTGCGCACTGATGAATACATTTCTCCGACAGCACTGAGCCACTGACCGATTTCCCCTCTTCTGAAAGCATCAATTTTTGCACAGCATTGTTTCAGACTTGAACACTGCGTTGCTGTCTTGGATGCTCATTTCCTCAGGCATGACTCTTGAACTGCATGATTATAGGTCATCAGATGAAATTACAGAGTTACAACATTTGAATGCAAGTTGGTAGTTACAGATCATTAGGAAATAATGCTAAGCTTCACTTTAGTAGTCAAGAATTGAAGCCTTTGGCTGCAAAATAATGCTACTCACTAAAGTAAATTGCATATGATTTCTTGCAAGTCACATATTAATGCAAGATCGTTAGGACATAATGCTAAGCTTCACTTTAGTAGTCAAAAATTGTTGCAACATCCAGATCTGTTTTCATGTCATTTGCTCAAGATTTGGAACAGACCTGCCATTTTAAAATATGGACTAATTTAAGAATTAACATAAATAAAGACAGCGCAAGCCCAACAATTATGCCACTTCTCACTTGAGTACTAGTTGGTATTAATTAAACAACTGGTATAGTGGTATCTTTGTCTGTTAACTAGTTTTGACCATGTGTACAGTGGTCTGACAGACACTGTGGATAGAACCACTCTGGTGTTGTAAATTCTCATCAGCATCCCAAATTCATATATGTCCTATTGTGGCTATAGCATTGTTTATTTCCTGCATGTATTTATGATGGGCACCAGTGAAGATTGTTCTAGCTACTTACAGATCAAAATAAAAGGGAAAAAAGAGCAAATAAAAGGATAGGGGCTTGCCCCTCCTGTTCCTTAAAAGAAAAAACAATTGAGGCACAGCACATTAATGTAAAAGTCGCATGGCATTGCTGCTACTCGAGGCACATATATTTATTGCTAAAAATACATATTAGGACACACCTACTTAAATCTATGAATACAGCATATTGGCTATACACATCAAACACAAAAGCTGTTTCGAGATGATGACAGAATAAATCCGACAGGATTGCAGAGATATAAGGCAGTCATCTGTTGGTCAGAACGTTAAATGGATATATATCGGGACGGTCAAACCTCACCTTTCATGTCAGTTGAACTTAAACGACTAAACGACTGAGCACATTTAAGATTTAATACAGGTATTTTAGAAGCCGCTGACTGAAAAATAGTTCTTGCTGTGTGGAAAACAAGCATTCGGCCCAGAAAGATGACAGATAAATTAAGACACATTGAAGTAAGTTTCATGCAGGACATGGACATGTGATTGGCGTGGCAAAATTATATACTAGGACCTATGTATACTTAATCTATGAATATGACACATTAGCTAGTAGCTACTCATCAAATGATTAACACACCAGCTGTCCCAAGGTCAGGATGATTCTATAGCAACGGGGCATGCATACGCATGATTAAGACAGGAGTTACTTTCATATCATATCTGCCATCAGTTGGTCAAACCAAAACACCTATTATCCTTTTAAACTACTATAAGCTACTATTGGATAGATGAACTAACGGAATAACAAAGGTTCTGCAGACTCACCCGTCATGCAACTTGTGCACTCGAAGTACCAGTTGGCAGCGACAGCCCAGCATCATTGTTGTTTGCATGACCTATATTATGAAAAAGGTGGACGAAAATGACACAGACAAAATCAGAACAACTGAAGACAAAGTGTAAATCTCAGTCTATTCTGTGGAAGGAGCCAACATACTTGCAGGTTGCCTCGTAACAAAAAAGCATGCACCGATCACAATGTAGCACAGCAGCAGAAGGATCCCCTTGAGATAATGTGACGATCCATCCTGCAAAAATCGCAAAGTATGGTCAACACAATAAGAAAAAGACTCAACCACATTTACTTACTAATATAAACAAACTCTTTCTAGTTGAATTGGTAAGTAGTCTTCACTACCAAATTAAAGTTCCATCATATATATTGTAAACCTTTCAGTTTGAACTTTTACATGTCCATCAATGATTAGCGTGTTCGGCTGGCTGGCTGGCTGATTGTCGGCTGGCCAGCCACCTCACAAAATCACTATTCATATCCTGCCAGAACAGTATTTTCCTCTCACAACAATCAGCCGAAACAGTATTTTTCAGTCCTGCCGAACAAGTCCGATGAGAAAGGAAAGTAGCTGTGTACCTGGAGAGTAAATGCTGTCACTATTACTGAGACGAAGAGAGAGCCGGTCTCTAGCAGCTTGAAGTCGAGATCCATTTGAATACCCGCGATCCAAGCTACAATGACACTCAGCGGCACCTAATGGCACGATTATTCCACAATGATTAGGTAGTAATTTAAGCCAATGAAATCTGGACGGGATATGGTACGACGCGTCATCACTTGTAATAAACTGTAATACCCACCACAAACATGGAGATCTGGGTTGCCGACCCCAAAGCTACTCCAAGGGTGATGTCCTGTGTTGCATCAGGAGAGAAATAGTTAATAACTTTACATGATTGGGCTATTTATAGTCATGAACAGTTCATGGCTGTGAGACAAGAGGAATATAATCTGGGTTGGGTGTGTCCTACCAGCTTGTTCTTGAGAGCAAAAATGATGGCCCCGGCATGCTCCGCGGCGTTCCCGACGATTGGTAGCAGGATGATGCTGATGAAGCTGACGGACAAACCCCAGGATTTGGAGGTAGGCTGGCGGTGGGTACAGGCGTGATTGGTGTATGTAGCGCACGTTAGTGCGGCCAATCTTATAGCTAATTAAGAAGAACAGAGGAAATGAATGATTGATGCAGTAAATAAATTGTACCTCAATCGTGCCGACAACATACTCGGACAGGATGGCGATGAGCACGGTCTTGAACGCGAGCCAGAAGAGGCCGCTGGCGAACCCGATGACCGCCTGTTCGTCCTCCTCTGCCTCGCCGTCGTCGTCCGCGACCTCCTGCGGCTCGAACAGCTGGGCGTGCGTCTTGAGCTGGAAAAAGAGGTAGGCGACGTAGGCGAGCAGCATGACGATGCTGCAGGCGCGGGAGAGGTCGAGCCCCGTGGTGTCCGCTGCCACGGAGTGCTCGCCGGCGCTCACCGCGTAGCGCAGCATGAGCGGCAGCGACTGGCACAGCACGCCGAGGATGAGAAGCCCCGTGCTGACGTCCGCTTGTGTCTGCACAAACATAAACATATCATCGTCCTCCTCCGAGTCCAAGTCTTGGGTGGTAACTTGCATACACATATCATGCACGACGTTGGCATGGGCGTAGTTGGTACGCACCCTGTCGTATAGCTGGTCGGAGCCGAGGTTGACAACGCCGCCGCAGAAGAGGGAGGTGCCGAGCACGAGCAGCAGGTTGGAGAGGACGGAGCCGAGGAGGGAGCACTTGACCACCTCGATCTTGCCCTCCATGAGCGCGAAGAGCGCGACGATGAGTTCAGTGGCGTTGCCGCACGTCGCGTTCAGGAGGCCGCCCACTGTACGTACGTACGTAGTAGCGCCGTCATGCAGAGCAGCAGAAGCATTCATGATGAGATCACTGTTGCTGACTTTGAAAAGTCAAGGCAAGTCATAGTAGACTGAATTTGACTTACCAGTGGGACCGGTGTATATTGCGATCTGCCTGCAGGAATGACAACAACAGAGCACAAGGCGTGTCAGCATGTAGTTAGTTAGGGTTGTTACATGAATGAAGCACAAGTTTAAACAACCGGCGATGATGGGCTTACTCGGTGAGGAAGCTGACACGCTCGGAGAGAGGAATGAGGCCGAGTAAGCTGAGCGCAAACACCCACACCTGCCAATGAATGGGGCAGTTCCGTTTCAAATTTCAACCAAGTTTAACACAAATGGATCGCATGTACTCCTACTAGTACGTCTCTACATTTACCGAACTATATAAAAAATGTTTTTGTACTACTATGACAGTGTTTGGCACCGGCTTCTGCGGCTTCGGCTCCCTACGCAGCAGCACTGTGCAGCGATGCACCGGCTTCTGCGGCTTCGGCTCCCTACGCAGCAGCACTGTGCAGCGATGTTCTTACCTATAGCAAGAGCCGGCCGTGCGAAAGGTTCACGGCGGGCGAAAGGGGGTAAGCAGCCCAGCCACACACCGAACCGCCGCAACGTGACAAGCGTGCTTGTGCGAGCATGGGATTACGCCGCGCCTTCACCGCCTGATCCGATGGCTACAGAGATACCCCACGTCGTGCAGCAGGAGTCATAAAAGCGAGGACAGCAAGGCGCCAGATGCTGGTGCTGCCTGTTCCGGTGAAAGGGATGCTGCAGTCCAGCAGAGTCTGTGGTAAAAGGTGGATCCGTGCAGCGCAGGACAGCAGGAACGTAGCATTATTGATCCTGTCCCGCCGGCCGCCGCCCCGCGTGCTGGTTGCGTGTGTGGCTACATCGGCTCATCAGCAGAAAGGTTGGTTTTTCAGGCTCTGGCAGGGGTGGTCTCGCGCCAAGCAACGGCCATCACTTCTTTTTGCAACTTTATATATATTCGCATAATAAAAATTCGAACGATGCATGGCTAAATAATAAATTAGAGAGGAAGATAGATAAATATTGATATCGTAACATGGTAGCGGTGCTAAAAAATTGCTGTTTGGTAAAAAAAAAAAATAAAGGTGAGAGGAGGAGTACTACTTCGAGTAGATGGGAACAAACAAGGGAGTAGTATATACTCTCTCTATCCAACTACGGGTTACGTGCTTGTAAAAATAGTTTATGTTGAACCAAATTTCTAATAAATACTATTTATATTTATGACTTTAAATAAATTTATTAAAAAATATATTTTGTAATTAATATAGTGGTATTTATTTGATATCTTAAATATTGATATTTTTTATCTATAATTAATCAAACTTGAGAAACTAAACTATAACACTGTGTTAAAATTGTATTTTTTTCCTAAACGAAGAGTATATATGTATGTATATTACGGCCCCTATTAGTATAGTCCAACAACGGCTAACAACTTTTGGCATTTAAACAAGAGAGCCAGCCGTGGTACACACCGGACGCCCGGATGACTGCAAAATTGCAAATGAAAATAGGAGGATGCTGCAGAACGTGAAACAACAAGAGCAGCAGGCGCCCGTTGTCACGGTGTGTGTGTGTGTGTCAACTCTCAAGGAGATGGCTGGCGACAGGAGGGCCGGCCAAGGAAGAGGTCAGCTCGCATCAGAGCAGAGCTCAAGGGAATGTCGTTAAGCACCTAGGAGTAGTATCGAACGGCCATTTGGCCTGGCTTGTTATCATCTCATCTCTCTCCATCGCCAACATCGGTCTTCCCGACCGAAGAGCGACAGGACAGACACACAGACTGGGAGATCGATAGTAATCTATCGATTTCACTTATCACCTAATAACGCCCTGCTGCCCCGTTCCCCAGGGCTGCTGATCGAATCGTAAGCACGGCCGATCGATTGAGGAAGAAACACAGCAACTATAATCAATCAATCCTTGAACCGCAATCGCTCGGGGGATATAAATAATATAATATACCTGGCCGAAGTTGGCGCACTGGGCGGCGATGGCGAGCGGCACGGCGGGGAAGAGCACGGCGAGCTTGGTGCCGAGGAAGACCTCCTGCAGGTTGGCGAGCACGGGGCGGAGCGGTGCGAAGGGCACCTTGCGCACCAGCGATGCGTCCGACTTCTTGCGCAGCGCCGACGCGGACATGTTGTGCGCCGTGCGCGCCGTCAGCGACCGCCCGTGGGGGCCCTGCCGCGCCGCGCGCAGCAAGCCGGCTTCCGACGCGTACTTGCGCATCGTGCTGCCCCGGGTGGAGTCAGGCAGCCGATCCATCCTTGATCCTTCCCTTCCTTCCCGGGCCGATCGAGTCCGGCAGCCGCAGCCGATCCAACCCTCTCCCCTCGCGAGGCTGCCGCCGCTCACAGAGTCACAGGGCTGTGGGAGCGCAGAGGAGGATGGATATATATGGAGGGGAGGCGAGCGACGGAAAGGCAAAAGATGCGAGGAATTATTGATCTATCTATGATTGACTGTTGGTACTAACCAGACTCTAATCCTAATGACAAATTAAAGAAAACCATGGGTATATATCTGCTGGAGACTGGAGTAGCAGTGCTACGAATTAAGATCAATGCGACATCGAACTAGTATTTGTTTGGGGAGACTGATTGGCTGATGATCGATTGACGAGGTTTGGTCGGTTTGCGAGATTGTAGTAGTAATCAGGAGGGATTATCATGCATGCAAGAGAGAGATGAGATCAGATTCGCTCGCGGTGAGGAAGAGCAGTGAATGCTAAGATCGGCCCCCGCGGCTATGCTGGGGACGGGGCGTCATGGTCCAGCGAAGCTTCGCGGAAGCTTCGTCCCTCGTCCGCCCGTCGCGGGCTGCTGCCACTGCCGCGCCGCCGCACGGAACGGTCCTGGTGCGCATGCAGTGCAGCCTGCCTCGTGCCGTTGCCGTCTGGCGGCTAGTAACGTACCGCTTTGCTCTCTGGACGTACGCTGGCTGCTTGCGCCACGGCTGTTCCGCTGCCTCGGAATCTCTGACGACGCCGCTCATCCAAAGCAAGGCTCGGGAGGGATCGAGGGACTCGTCATTCGTCCGTGCCACGGGGAGACGGGAGAGCGCGCAGGTCGCAGGGGTTGTTGGTTTGGTTTGTTGTTTCACTTTCACGCTTCACTGCTGCTGCTTCCAGCACTAGCAGTAGCAGCAAAAGGCAGGCCGCCGTGTTACACTTGTGTGGGCGACGTGGCAGCAGCCCACGGCGGCGATCACGACCGCGACGGGCGTCGGGAGCCGGACCGAATATTGCTTACGGCCGGCCATCAGTCCATCAACCGTCATGCATTGCATGACACTCGCACGTCGCACTCGCACACAAGCCGGGATGTTTGCCGTACGTGCCCTGTACGTACAACTCGCCTGCGTACTCCTTCTTTCATTCATTCGCTGCAGCCGTGGAACCGTATGGTTTGAGGGATGGGAGATGGAGCATGTACATGTGGTTGGGGTTGGTTGGTATATATGCAATACAAGTATATGAGAATTTGGCTTTCGGGCTGCTCAAGTACCCATCCCCGACTGCGACGGCCCTCAGTCGCCACCCCCTAGCCGAAAACACGCATGGGACGCGGATACGATCGAGGTGCGTCCATAATTGCCTCCCGACGACCCCACACCCCAAAGATATTACCGAGTCTAAAACAAATTTGTTCACTAAAAAATAAAGCTTTTTATCCGAATATTATTTTTCATCTTCAATTGTGTGTGGTAGTGAAGCTGACCAGGCATGATGCTGCAGCGCCATGTAGTACGAGGGACAAGGTTATGTTGAAAAACAAGTTTGAGGACTACGTAATACACACTTCAATAGTCTATGCATGAAATGAGCCCAAAATATAAAGTCTGATGATGAAAAATGGCCATTTTGATAGTGTTAGGGGAAACCAAGCCTAAAAATAAATTTTAAGGACAGAAACAGTGGTTTTGAATGAAATTGAGTCTCAGACCACAGTTGAGAGATTAAGGCCCTGTTTGGTAGAAAAGTTTTGTATCCAGATCCCTCAGAAAATGTTGCGTTTTAGATGGCGTATCAGAATCACTAGACTATTTGGTTGCAGAATCACTCTGAAACCATGTTTTCACGGATTCACGTTAATAGGAAGCAAAGTACGAATCGATAGAATCATTTCAAGCAGAAACGTTTCATCTGTATGCTGTTCAACGCCGTTTCTTCTGATCCCGCCTTTTATCGGAACCGTTTCGGTCAACCAAACGGTGCTTAAAATAACTATTCCGCTCAACAATACATAGAGTATAATAACCAAAATAAAGTGACTGCACCTCTTTATCTAAAAAAAAAAGTAAATGCACCATTATTGCCCAATTCTAGTAAAGAAGCATTCACGGAAAGGGAAAAATCTGCATTGCCGTTTGACTCAAGAATACGGTACGCCATAATCATTTTCTCCTTCTAGTGTTCATTAAAAAACTTGCATGAGCAAACCCACGGGGAAAAAAAGTAGAAGAAATGAGTACATTGCATGCGAAAGTTGTGTTGCACCTATTGCCTCATTAAAAACCTTGCATGCGCAAACCCAGTGGAAAAAAACTCACTAGGAAAAAAGAGCACAACAGTTCGGGATGGGGTCTTCAGGACCTACTGGTCTTTAGGACCAGTTTGTGATCTTCCAGACCAATTATGGACTATGGTTTAAAGAGATTTCTCCCCCGGAACCTTGCAACTCTCTGAGTCACTCATGTCAATTCTACGGACACATCTATTGAAGCTTGGCAGAGATTTTGTGAACAAATCTGCTAGATTTTCACAGGACTTAGTTTGTAGGATATTTATTTCCCTGCTCTTCTAGAGCCCGTGAGGATAAAAGAACTTTGGAGCAATATGTTTTGTAAGATTGCTTTTCACGCATCCCATATGCAGTTATGCAACACAAGCAACATTATCTTCATTGATAACGGTGGGGAACTGTCAAAAACTAGGCCACATGACTTTCTGGATGTGATCGATCATCTATGTGAGCCAAATACATTCTCGTGTGGCTTCATATAGGGTGATTATCTCTGAGTGGTTGGTTGGCGCGACAACCAAGGTCTGCTTCATAGACCGCCATGAAATGGATGCACCACCATAGAGAAATACGAAACCAGTCTGCGATTTAGCAATATGCGGGTCGGACATATAGCCAGCATCCACATATCCCACCATGGTTGGGACTTGGTTCTTCGAAAACCATAGACCAAGGTCTTGAGTACCTTGTAGGTACACGAGGATGGTCTTGACGCCAACCCAATGTCTTCTTGTTGGGGGCAGCATTGTACCTTGTCAACAAATTTACTGCGAGCAAAATAGCAGGCCTTGTATAGTTCACTAGGTACATTAGTGCTCCAATGGAACTCAAGCAGGGGACTTTAGGTCCCAATACTTCCTCGTCATCATCCTTGGGTCTAAATGGGTCCTTATCCTCTTCCATGAATCGAACCACCATGTGTAGTATATTTTTACATATGCTTTTATACATGCATGCTCATATTATTTGGACTACTAAATAAGTACTGCTGATTTTTTTAATTCTCATATTTTAGGTGTTGGTGTTTAATGATCAACAATCACGTTATGGGGCTACCCAGAACGAGAATTGGTGGGCTTAGGCATAAGCTAAACTTGATGGTGAACGTGAAACAACGATTTATACTAGTTCAGGCCGCACAATAGCGTAATACCCTACGTCTAGTGTGGCATGTTGCCTTGCGTTGGATTGTTGTGTATGATGTTACAAGGGGGTGCCCCTGCCACTCTTTATATAGTTCAGAGGGCAGGCGCATAAGTCTAGTCCTAGTCGGTTACAACAGAAGAGTTCTAATCCTATTACAGAAATAGACTTTCCTATAATCCGACTAGGTTGGTCCTTCTTGTCTTGGAGAGCACACCACCTTGTCTCGTGCTTTCAAGCAGACTATGGGCCAGCCCATCTCCTTACCAAGTAGTCGACCCTATGGGGAACCCTTAGGGTCTTGGTCCATCATTAGGATATACTTCGACAAGCCAAATTAGTCATGCTATCTCTATCCATTATCACTTGGGCATGATGGCTCACCCAAGAATGACACTGCAACCGCCAGGCCCACCTAAATCGTTCATGCAATCAAACCAACATCACTGACCACGATCACTAAAGCAAGCCACCGTCGGGCTTACCCAAGTTGGACACATCACCATCGACAATGTCACTGACCACGATCCCTCAAGTTTGCCGTTGCTAGGGGCTCACCCGAGTCGGTCACATTGCTCCTGATGAAATCACCTGGTTTGTTCGCTTAGGCATGTCACCGCCATGATCCACCTAAGTTGGTCCTGCCACTACACCTACTGGGTGCACTCACCGCATGCTCAAGGAATAGAAAAGGAAAACGGTTAATCCTTGAACCGATTCTCTGAATAGCCTAGAGGTTTTGGGGCTAGACCTACTAGGTCTACTCACGCAAACCTGGTGAACTACAACTTTATAGAAAGCACTCGGGCTTGACAACATAAAGCAATGGGGACACTCAAATCTAGAAAGCACTCACATTTGTACTTCAGCTATGGCTAAATCTCCACTCGATTCTCTAATCACATGGAGGCTCGAGGGCTACTGCCGGTTACATGGGCCTCAGGTACCTTATTGAGACTAAAATTGACACCTATTGGCGGTCCTTAACTCACTTTTAACCACCAACACTCGCATAAAATCCACTCAAATGAACACCAAACTTAGTGATAGGATTTATAACTAACGAATTCCACGAGTCTTGGTGTTTATTCATTTGTAGGAGGGCATTTGTGGAAATACACACAAAAGGGCCAAAAATGTGCAAGAGAACAAAGCACAAATACCATTCTACATAAGCCTAAAGGACAGAGGCCCACAACCAGTCAAAACATAGCCCAAACGAGAGGAGAATAAGGCTAAACCCAAATCAAATCACTTCATCTTTGCCGGGCACCCACATGGACCCATTCAAGAGGTCAAAAGGAGTCAACCCACCAAAGATGGAGCCCAAAGGCCCTAGTGGAGGTGTGGCCGCACCCCTAGTGGCCCCATTCGGGCCCAAACTTCATGGGCCGCCTCTTACCGCCTTCCCATGGTCGGTCCAGGTGGGGATGTCGACATAATCAATGCCGAGGAGGCGGTTTGCACCTTCCGTGAAGGGATGAGGCAATTTCTAAATGACTTCCTCCTCTCCACCTATAAAAGGAAGCCTCTCCCCTCCTCATTCAACAATACACACAAGAG